AACACTTATGTGGGGGGGTTGTTTTTACTTCTTTTACTGCTTGCAAAGTTTGTTATGAAAAACTTAAAAAACAACAAATAGACTAGTAGCACCTTAAAGACTAACAAAATGTGTAGATGGCATCATGAGCTTTCATGGGCGCAACCTACTTCTTCACATGTGACTTCTTCATACTAGTTTATTTGTTATTTTTTAAGTTTTTCTTGTTACAGACTAACTTGGCTACCCCTCTAAAGTGTGTTATGTTTGGTTTTTGACTGGTCTGAGCATTTCATAAAGTTCATTTCTCTCCTATGCTAAAATTTAATTCTTAGAGTAGTGATTTCTGTTGTGGCTGGAGTCACTATTCCTATGGTAATTCTGTTACTGGAAGAGGCTGGCGTATCCCTGCAGCTCCTGAGAAAGGCAGAGTAGGGGGACATGCTGTCCTTGCCTGCAGACACCACTCCTGCAGCTCACAGTGATCAGTAACGGAGAACCGTGGCCAGTAGAAGCTGAGGGCTCAGTGCCTGTAGATGAGGGGCAGCACATGGCACCATGGAGCCATTTTTGTGCATGCCAGCTACCCCACTGTTCCATTATCCAGAAGCCATCTCAGTTAAATGGTACCCAGCCACAGCCTACTTCCTGAACCCCTGTCCCAGCCCTGAACCCCCTCCTGCACGCAAACTCCTTCCCAGAGCTTGCACCCTGAAACTCCTTCTGGACCCCAATTCCCCTCCCTGGGCCAAGCCTGGAGCCCCTCCAACACTCTGAACACCTTGGCCCAAGACTAGAGCCTGCACCCCAGCTTAGTGAAAGTGAGTGATGAAGAAGAAGGGGAAGGAGGAAGAATGGGATGGAGGGAGCAGGATGCCTCGGAGAAGAGGTGGGAAAGAAACAGGGCAAGGGTATTTGGGTCTGAGGTAGATCTTAGATTGCACTAAAATTGAAAAAGTGATCTTGTGGTTAAAAAGGTTGGAGACGACTCCGCTAGAGCAAGTCTGTTTATCCAGACTGGGAGGTTTTCTTCCAGCTGCAATGTAGGTGTCATGCAGGGAACCCACAAGGAATATAGTAGCTTGCTTTGTCTCTCTCTGCTTTGTGGGTCTTGTGTGTTACTGTTGAGAAATACAAGAAATAAAGCCACATTATATTACTTCTGTCCAAGAAGCGTATTTTATGGCTTATTCTAACTTCTCCGTCAGTTTCTGTGAACATAACACATCCAGATGTGCCTCCTCTGTCATTTCACTGAGTCTGACCCTTGTGTAAACAGGATTTTCTACTACAATCTGGGCTGCAACTGTAAGCAGGACTTATTTGCAGTATAATCATTTTAAATTATATTTGAAGTATTTCACACTTCTCTTTGCTTGGAGCATTTTTTTAACAAGCTACCATAGAATCTTCCAATAAGTTTGAAGATTATTTGTAGTGGATGGGGTCACTGCTGATATTTGATTTAATACACACATCTCTTCCCAAAAATTGCAAAAGCTTTTGGTCTTGCAAACAGTGCAGCATGTGCTTAACGTTAAACATGTGAGCTCTATTGAAGACAGTGCATTTACTCATTTATTTAAACTTACTCAAATATGTGTTACGGTTCAATGCTTAGTTCTCAAGAGCAACAAATACTTTGCTTTCCAGCTTACCTGAGAAATACATTATTTTAAAAAATAATTGTTGTTTAAGGAAATTGTAGCTGATTTTTAAAGAACATTAATTTGTTCCTCATAATTTAATTTGGATTTTAATGTATATATTTTTAAAAAATTGTGAACGAAACATGTTCTGTTTTTGAGATTGGGTTTATTTTAAGGTATCTTTTAAAATGGATATTTTCAAAATAAGAGATAAAAATATCCATAATTTGCACATCTAGATTTCTATTTTTAAGTTTGTTAAAATAAATCTCTCTCAGAAACATTAAAAAAATAGCACCCTGATTTAGAAATGAATTAAAAACATGGTCCTGTGAAATGTGCAGAAACATTCAGGTTAAAGGTATGCTTACCGTATATTCCGGCGTACAAGACGACCTCTGATGTTAAAAAACATCCCCCCAAAATCGGGGGTCGTCTTGTACGCCGGATGCACCGCCGCCGGAGCCCCTCCGCGGCTTTGAAAGCCTCGGGGGAAGCCGGCGGGGGGGCATCCCAGGCGCGCATGGGCTGCCCCCCCGCCGGAGCCCCCCCGCGGCATTGAAAGGCTCGGGGGAAGCCGGCGGGGGGGCGGCCCCGGC